ATGGCTTAGTTCTTGAAAGTCTATGGGTACTTTAAATGGTATCTCCACTTTGCTATATAAAATATAGCAAATTAAAAAAAAAATTTGCTGCACAAGCCGTATTGCAATCTGTTATTAAAAATTACCTTTCCTTATCAATCTGCAGCTGCTGTAGTTTTACTATAAATTTATTGCAATATAGCAACCCAGAGGTGGAGTCACAAGTCAGGTTTTAGGCATCCTCTGCAATAAAAATTAATTTTTGGTGAGATACTCCCTGGGGGTTAATCACTTCTAAAGGGATGCCAACCCTGCAACTTTTTAAACAGAATCCTGAAATTGCATCAGCTGCTGTAACAAATTGGTCACTCCCACTCAGAACCAGTCCTGCATAGGATGTGATCTACAAAGAGCTCTTCCTTCAGAGCAGAAAGAGGTAGGAATCTGCAACAAAGTTTGTTAAATCATTTCAGTGTACATAGATCACCTAGAGTGGATTGTTTTTCTCAACAAAAGTGGAGTTACCCTTTAACCAGTTGCTGACCGCAGATAGCCAAATGACGGCTACACTGCGGTCTGCCAGTTCTGGGAGGGCGTCCTCCCAGAACACGCTCTCCTGAGCGCCCCCCGGGGCCGTGCCCCTGGCGATCTCCGTGATCGCTGTGTCCTACGGACACAGCTGATCACGTGATGTGGTAATAAAGGCCAATCACAGCGGCTTTTTACCACGTGATCAGTCATGTCTAATGACACGCTGATCACAGGGAAATGCAATTGCTGGTTCTTGGCTGCACTTTACTCACGCTGTCAGAATGTGGGGAAAGAACTGCCGAGAACCGGCAGTTGTCAGAGCAGGGATTGCACCGATCATCAGGGCACTGATGATCAGTGCTCTGATCGGTGCCCAGCAGTGCCACCCACCAGTTCCGCCCACCTGTGCCCAGTGGTGCCACCCACCTGTGCCCATCAGTGCAGCCCAGCAGTGCCACCAGTCAGTGCCCAGTCAGTGCCACCTATCAGTGCTGACTATCAGTGCCACCTCATTAGTGTCGCCTATCAGTGCTGCCTATCAGTGCAGCCTCATCAACGCACATCAGTAAAGGAGAAAAATTACCTGTTTGCAATATTTTATAATAGAAACTAAGAAACTTTTTTTTTTTTTTTGCTTTTTTTTTGTTTATAGCGCAAAAATAAAAACCCCCAGCGGCAATTAAATACCACCAAAAGAAAGCTCTTTTGTGAGAAAAAAATGATAAAGGTTTCATATGGGTACAATGTTGCATTGTCATTCAAAGTGCGACAGCGCTGAAAGCTGAAAATTGGCCTGTAAGGAAGGGGGTATAAGTGCCCAGTAGGCAAGTGGTTAAAGTGCATGTAAACTGTAATGGAATATTTAGCTCCTTTGCGTAAACACTAAGTGAATATATAGACACTATGTACCGTATATAATTGCCATTTTATAAATAAAAGACTTGTTTTCATAATTTAATTTTTTGTTGCATCTCACTGCTACTGATCTCACACAGCCGCTTCCTGTCTATAGGCACTTCAGTGATATCCAGAAAGCTGGAATAGGGCTTTTAACTTTTAAATGCTCAGTGGGTAAGTGAAGTGCTAAAATAGCTAATTTGCATACAATTGTTTCTGGTGTTCATCGGACCAAAAAAAATAAATAAATTTACACAGCGCTTTACATTTTGTACATGCACAGAAGTCCTCGCCCATAAAGGAGCTTACAATTTAAAGTCCCTATCTTGCATACTATACACATATATCATACAAGCACACACATTCAGTGTTGTGAAAGTATCTGCCTGATTTTTTTTTTTTTTTGCATATTTGTCACACTTAAATTATTCAGATAATCAAACAAACTTTAATATTACACAAAGATAGCCCAAGTAAATACAAAATGTAGTTTTTAAATGATGTTTCATGTATTATTAACAGGGAAAAAAAGCTGTCCTAACCTGCCTGACACTATGTGAAAAAATAATTGCCCCCCCTTCCTTTAATAAATCATGAATTAACTGTGATTAATCACATTTTTGGAAAGCTGAGTTACATTTCACTTGCATTACCCAGGCCTGATTGCTGCCAGACCTGTTGAATCAAGAAATCCCTTAAATAGAAGCTAACAAAGTGAAGCACGCTAAAAAAATATCAAAAAGCAACATATCATGCCGTGGTCTAAAGAAATTTAGGAACAGATGAGAAACAAAGTAATTGACATGTATAGTCCAAAAAAGGTTGTAGAGCCATTTCTAAGGCTTTGGGACTCCAGGTGACCACGGTGAGAGCCATTATCCACAAATGGAGAAAACTTAGAACAGTGATGAACCTTACCAGGTTTGGCTGGCCTACCAAAATTACTCCAAGGACACACCGACAACTCGTTCTGCAGGTCATCAAAGAACCCAGAACAACATCTAAAGAACTGCAAGCCTCACTTGCCTTAGTTAAGGTCAGTGTTCATGATTCAACAATAGGAAAGAGAATGGGCAAAATGGCATCCATGGGAGAGTTTCCAAGGCAAAAGCCACTGCTGACCAAAAAAAAAACAATGGCTCGTCTCACATTTGCCCAAAAACATATTGAGTATCCCCAACACTTTTGGGCAAATATTCTGTGGACCGATGAGACAAAAGTTGAACTTTTAGAAGGTGTGCATTCTGTTACATTTTCAGTAAAACAAACACAGAATTTCATAAAAAGAACATCATGCACACAATCCAATATGGTCGTTGTGGAGTGGTGTGATGGTCTGGGGCTGCTTTGCAGCTCAGGAACTGGACGCCTTGCCATAATTGATGGAACCATGAAATCTGCATTCTACGGTTGTTGCTATCAAGGGTGGTGCAACCAGTTATTAAGAATTTGGGGGCAATTACTTTTTAACATAGGGCCAGGCAGGTTTAGACAGCTTTTTTCCCTTAATAAATGAAATCATTTAAAAATTGCATTTTGTATTTACTTGGGTTATCTTTGTGTAATATTAAAATTTTTTTGATGATCTGAATCGTTTAGGTGGTGTGACAAATATATGCAAGAAAAAAAATCAGGAAGGGGAGAGTAATACTTTTTCACAGCACTGTATTGGGGCCAATTCAAACCAGATTGTCTTTGGAAAGTAGGAGGAAATCCACACAGGCACAGGTAGAACATACATACTCATTAACAACTCACAAAAGGATATAGCACCTCATAGGCTAATCAGCAGTATAAGGACGGGGTGGGGTACATGCATTGTTTGATTATATGATACGTTTTGTTTAATTGTTACGTCCTTAATAAAATTATACTTCTTATTAGCCTTTGAGGTGCTATATCCTTTTGTGGGGTTTTTCTTTAGTAGTGTATTGGTTTTGGATGCACCTCCCCTTCTATTACCCACTTCCCGACAGGCCGTTATATATAAACGGCTGGATGGTGGCACTGCAGGGTCGGGTGGCCGTTTATAAATGGCCTCCCCGCACCCTGCTTGTGCGCTCTCCCCGGGAGCGCGCAACACCGTGATCCGGTGCCCGCTGTGCCCTCCAGACACAGTGAAACTCCGATCGTCAGACAGGACCTCTGTACGAGGTCCCGATCATGTGATCACTGATTGGCCAAGCAGTGATCACATGCAAAGTAGTAAGCAAGATGTCACTTGTGACATCATTGCTTACTACGTGTGAAATCTGTGAATGATCACAGAGGTCACATGGTACAAGGCTATTCACAACAGCCTTGTACCATGTGACAAGCTGTGACCAATCACAGCTCACTCAGTAGTTTTCAATGGCTGCAAGAATGCAGACAGAGAGAAATAGAAATGATTGCTTTTACACGCATATAGGAAGTAAAAGCGATCAGTGTAAAAAAAAAAAAAAAAAAAAATCTTCATCACCCCCCAAAAGTAGTACAGTGTCACCATGGTAAAAATAAATAAATAAAAATAAATAATATAAAAAAAAAAAATAAAAATGTAAAAAGAAATGTTTAAAAATGTATAATTTTTGGTTATAAACTAATTTGGCTTTTTTTTTTTTTTACTAAAAAGATAACGGAATAAATTTTGGCCAAGATTTATGATGAAATATTTATTTGCAAAATTTTATAAGAAAAACACTTTTTTTCAAAATTTTTGGACATTTTCATTTACATAGCAAAAAAGATAAAATCCCAGCGGTGAATAAATACCACCAAAATAAAGTTTTATCTGTCTCAAAAAAAAATGGTAAAAAATTCATATGGGTACAGTGTTGCATGACCGTGCAATTGTCATTCAAAGTGGGATAGCGCTGAAAGCTGAAAATTGCCCTGGACAGGAAGGGGGTTAAAGTGTCCAGACTGGAAGTGGTTAAGGGTTTAGGCATTGGCAGATATACCATTCCCAGGACAGGCCACTGGCCGTGGGGGCTTTATATAGAACACACATACTCCCTGCAGATTGTCCTGACAGGGATTTAAACTAGGGACCTGAGTGCTGCAAAGCAGAAATGCTAACCTCGAAGTCATTGTGCTGTCCATGATGTGAAGGGTTGCTTTTCATAGCAAATGCTACCTACCATTTATAAAATGTAACCTTTACTGGGGGGAATGAATGAGATGTCCGGTTCTAAAAATACCAGTTTCCTGGCTGCCTCTGACTTCAGTGCTTTTTGAGAGATTGACCCCGTACAAGGACTCCTATTGGGAAAATCAGAATGAAGTTGGAGCGTTTTATCTTGACTCTTGTTCCAGGCCAGAGCCTTTTAAATACTGAAGCCACTGGATTTGCACGACAGCCAGGCAACTAGTATTAAAAGGGCAGGTTAACAATAGCACCCTTCATTTTACCTTCAATGCATTTGCTTTAAAAGAGAAGGGAAAAAAAAACAATTTTAAAATTGTGATAGATTCAGTAAAATAAAGTATGAAAAAAAAAAATTCCCTTCTATAACCTGTATGACTGGTTGGCTGGCGTAAAAAGAGTTTGTTTTTTTTTTCTTTTATTTTCAAGTAAAGTCTAATCTAAATTCTTCTTGTTTTTGTTGCAGGACCCTCATGTGGATTGCTATGAAGCATCTGTCATAAAGGATAAGCTGGGGTTGGACAGAGAGTCACTAGTTGCACTTGCGATTCTCTTGGGATGTGATTATGTTCCTAAAGTGAGTGAGTTTGCGGAAAAAATAAATAAAATAAAAGTCAAAACCCCAAAGAAATCCTGCAGACTGTATGAGATCTCTTGATACAGTCTATTAAAAACAATGTCTCCACTTTTCTCAAGTTTTGCTCATTGCATATCTCTTAACCCCGCCATAAAAAATGCTCAGAATTTGTTTTTTTTTTTTTTTTTAACCACTACTCAATTGCATTCTGATGTGGATGAGAGGAGATAACCAAGTAAGGCTTTTATAATGGAAATCATTTTTTTTCTCAAATTAAATTGGAATTTGTGTGTAGGTAGTGGAGATGTTGTTGGTGTTTGTGGGGCCCTCTTTTAAAACCTACAAGCATTAAAATCAAGCTCTTTGTACACATTCCTAAAATTTTGTGATCTATTCCTGACTGCCATGACCTGGAGGTTGGCTCAGTTCACATAGGCCTGTGGTTCAGTGGCTCTGATTACAATGTGTGAGTTCAGCCTTCAGCACCCATGCCATGCGATTATACAATCTTCTTTAAATTAAGCACCAGATACGGAGTATATTACTCCACCTGACTGGATGTAAATGTAATTGTTTTGGAAGGCTCTAGCACTGCATAATTATTATAAATCTAAAGCAATTTGTACAATCAGATTGTAATATGCGGCTAGCTTTATGCCTAGTACACACGGCGAGAAAACTGGACGAAAAAAAACGCAATTGCAGCAATCGTCTGACGATCTATTTGTTAATACCCAACTTTCGAGAACACATCATGACAGTTCATGCGAAAATAAATATACAAAGGAACAAGCATGAACATTTTTCTCGTAAAACAGAACAAAACATTTTGTGTAATTTTAGTATTTGTACAAAAAAATCGAGTGACCAAGACCGCATGTGCTCGGAGAAAATAAAAAAGTATACATTACATTCGTTCCGAAGTTGTATTCAGTCTTGCAAGAATTTTCATAATTTTAGTAACCACTTCATTTTAGATATGAGACTAGCATGCAAAAAGAAAAAAAAAATGGACGATCATTCATCCGATATTCTCATTGTGTTTCATGGCTTTAGAGAAGTGTTATTTTTCACAGTTTGCCACATCTTGCATAAAAGAGCATGAGTTGCATTGTCTGTCTATTAAATCTGCAGTTGTCATTCCGGGGGGGGGAGGGGGGGGGGGGGTTTATGGTCTGTTCACACCATAATATGGGAAACCTGTGTTCAGTGCATGCTTCCCACACCGTGTTCAAAACGTTCTGGATGTGCAATCTGTTGCAGTTGTTAATGTATTCCTAACACCCCAAATGCAGTGCGTTTGTCTGCATCGGATCATATCCTACCATAGCATGTGTGTAGTGCATGCACTACTTTTGGTGCAATTGCAGCCTATTTAAATTAATGGGCTGAAAATCGCACCGTACTGTATTATTTATTTATTTCAGGTACTTCTATAGCGCCGTCAATTTACGCAGCGCTTTACATCTATATTGTACATTCACATCAGTCCCTAACCCTCAAGGGGCGTACAATCTAAGGTCCCTAACTTACATTCATACATACATACTGTATATATTGTACATTCACATCAGTCCCTAACCCTCAAGGAGCGTACAATCTAAGGTCCCTAACTCACATCCATACATACACATATTAGGGCCAATTTAGACAGCATTTCTGGTGTGAACCTGCACATAGTGCCTTGACTAAGTCTACACCTCGGAGAGTGCTTGCACTGATATCAAAGCAAAAGATTTGAAAAACAAACAGTACTCTTCCCTATGTCTTAGAAAGCAGCAGGATTCTGAGTAGAAAAGCATGTGTCCTGCCAGCATGCTACAGAGAAGGATGCTTGCTCTCTTTGCGGAAGCAGTCATCCCTCTGTAGAGATCTGACTTTTACCCCCTGTTATAAGTCAGACTTGGGTCTGAATCAGCAGGGGACATGTTGGATTTTTTCATAGAGACCACTGCTTCCACACAGAAAGCAAGGGTCCCTCTCCACAGCATGCTGGTAGAACACAGGCTTTTCTGCTTGCAGTTTTGGGACAGCCCCATTGACTTTAATGGCTTTGTTTGGTAGGTGGTGCCACCTGTCAACTCAAAATGCCACACTGAATTTGCAGCAATGCTGAGGATTGCAGCCGGGTTATGTGAATGGCTGTATTGTAGACTTTTTTTAAGTTGGCGGTCAGGTGGGGTGGTAAAACCGCAGCTCCACCACCTTTTTACTGCCCCCCCCATTCACCCATGTGAAAGAAACCTAATGGAAACAAAGTGTATACCCTTGTTTTGCTGAAGTTCCAGTGTGTTTAGCTGATTTAAATTGAATGCTCAGTTGGGTTTTAATTGAGAGCAGCAATTCATGTATAATTTCTTTGCCAGACCAGCTGCTGAAAGTTAAATCTGTGGATAGCAGGAGATAGCATAGCCAGTCATTGACAGGGAAATTGTCACCCAACCAAATGGATTTATTTTTTCAACTGATTGCTGCTGTTTTTAAAATGCAAGTTATATGCCAGGGAAGTCTGCCCACCCTCATCCACTGCTTGAGTCTGCACATTTAATGATGCAAATGATCCATTCAATGTTTGTGGTTGGCATTATTCTTTTTCTACTTCATTAATCAGCTGATATCTCAGTGTTGGTTGTGCAGTTGTGTCCAGCTGAGGAATGGACTGACAATTCTTGCATGCCATCCTTTTAGCATGTAATCAAATGAGTTCAATAATGTCATGCCCTGAGCAGATATAACTGCTAGAATTTGCTGGGAACAGGCGGTAACTTCTCTCCCAGACAAGAGTCATTAATGTGAATGTTTTGCCAGTTCTTGCCCATATAATACAGATAAGTGACAGAGGCTTTGGTGACATCTGGCTCCAATTTGCTGCTGTTTGTCATACCTGTGCTAAATGGGCAACACCTTTCCACCCCACTGCTCTCAAGTGTTAATGGCTCCTGAGCACTTCCTATCTGCTAATGTTTGAGAAATCCCAATTAAATCACTTTGTTCAGTTCATTAGTACAGATGTACTGTGTTTATTAGTGTCCTTTAGGTAGTGGAGGAAAAATTAAATCTCTTTGGTGGAACTATTTGTGATGTGCAGGTTAACATTGGAGAAAATGCAATTCAGATTTCAGAATAGCCTTTTACCTCTATGCCAGGGGTGTCCAACCTTTTGACTTTCCTGAGCCACATTAGAAGAAAAGGAATTGTCTTGAGCCATACATAAAATACATTAAACAATAAGGATAACTGATGAGCAGAAAAAGTCAGGCAGATAAACGATCACTAATATAGATAAGATACCTATCTGAGTATTAAAACTTTTTTTTATAATTTTTATTATAAAGGATAGAAAAGGGGAACATAAAGCTAGTACGATATTTGAAACTGTTTTTTATAAACGAACGCATCAATATCTGTTTCAAAGGATGTAGTGGCAATTCACAATGACTTCTCAAGGTGCTCATCAGATATTTTAGTTCTAATTTTGCCTTTCGTGTGCTTCATCCTTGAAAATAGCTGCCAAAAATTTCATGCTGTGAATAAGGCATGATTGTGAAGAGTGGGGGATTTTACTTTGAGAAGATAAAACTTGACACTGTCAAGTTTTTCTTCAGCGACATGTGTTCGCAAAGTATAAGTGCATTTCCACAAAAAATTTACTTTTTTAAGTAAGTTTATGATTTGGTGTTGGGACGCAGTAATAGTGGTTGGGGGCCACAGATTGGACACCCCTGCCTTTTACCAAATCTGAGCTTTGCTCACATGTGTCAAAACAACAGGTTTATGCTATTGTAGCCACCATCTTCATATACATGTGATTTATCTGGTTGCTGGGAGCGCAGAAAATGTACAGTATTTCATAGGAGCATGGGACTCGCTTTTCCTTCACACACATGACAGCACTGGTGTCTAGCAATTGACTGCTCGGGAACTCAGCACTGTCACTAAAGGATGGGAAAAATAGATCTAAAGTCAATCTGAAATAATTTGTCCTGATCTGCTGACTTCTTCGGGATCAGTGCCTCAGGAAATATTAAAGCCTGAGTCAGCATGACAGGCAGTCCTGCAATTGGCATTTTCAGAGGTTTGCAATATCACCCTTATTGATTTTACAGCGCAGGGTTCCTTTTTTGATAGAAATCTGATGCTGACAACAGGCCCCTCCAGGTAATTTCAACTTTCTTGTAGATCTCCTGGGTTTTCTCTATTACACAAACCTCTTTTTACCTAGGAAGTCAGCATTTAGTAGTACATTACTCCATCTTAGTACAAAATCCAAAATTATTAAAAGACCTCCAGCTAAAGCTGGTCATATGTGGAACTAATTTTGTCTGGTCTTGATGAACCGGCCACAATTTGCTCCGTACAGTGCCTTGGAAAAGTATTCATACCCCTTGAAATTTTCCACATTTTGTCATGTTACAACCACAAACATAAATGTATTTTATTGGTATTTTATGTGCTAGACCAACACAAAGTGGCACATAATTGTGAAGTCGAAGGAAAATTATAAATAGTTTTTCAAAATTTTTTACAAATAAATATCTGAAAAGTGTGGCGTACGTTTGTATTCAGCCCCCTTTACTCTGATACCCCTCTAAAATCTAGTGGAACCAATTGCCTTCAGAAGTCACCTAGTTAGTACATAGGAGTCCACCTGCGTGTAATTTTAATCTCCGTGTAAGTACAGCTGTTCTGTGAAGCCTCAGAGGTTTGTTAGAGGACATTAGTGAACAAACAGCATCATGAAGGCCAAGGAACACACCGGACATGTCAGGGATAAAGTCGTGGAGAAGTTTAAAGCAGGGTTAGATTATAAAAAAAATAAATCATTATCCCAAGCTTTGAAAATGTCACAGAGCACTGTTCAATCCATCATCTGAAAATGGAAAGAGTATGGTATAAAACTGAAAACCTTCCAAAACATGGCCGTCTACCTAAACGGACAGGCCGGGCAAAAGAGTATTAACAAGAGAAGCAGCCAAGAGGCCCATGGTAACTCTGGAGGAGCTGCAGAGATCCACAGCTCAAGTGGAAGAATCTGTCCACAGGACAACTATTAGTCGTGCACTCCACAAATCTGGCCTTTATGGAAGAGTGGCAACCATAAGAAGTCCCGTTTGCGAGAAGCCACGTGGAGGACACAGCATACATGTGGAAGAAGGTGCTCTGGTCAGATGAGACCAAAATTGAACTTTTTGGCCTAACAGCCAAACGCTATGTGTGGTGGAAAACTAACACTCCACATCACCCTGAACACACCATCCCCACTGTAAAAAATGGTGGTGGCAGCAGCATGTTGTGGGGCTGCTTTTCTTCAGCAGGGACAGGGAAGCTGGTCAGAGGTAATGGGAAGATGGATGGTGCCAAATACAGGTCAATCTCAGTTTTTGGTTGTTACATGATAAAATGTGGAAAATTTCAAGGGGTATGAATACTTTTTTCAAGGCACTGTAGATGGCCTGTTGGCACCCTCCGCTTGCATGTGCATGGTGTGGTCTGCAGACTCCTAGGCAAAGTTGATGTTTGCAATACATTTTGACCTGGGTTTTGGGGTACTCTATAAAGTAATGGAAAGTGCATAAGAGTGGCTGTTGTTGCATCTAAGTAACACCAGAGATGATAAACTGACGTGTGCATAGTTTAAAATGCATCAATTATTTCTGAGTTAAGTGAGATAAGTATTTACATATAACCTAAAACATAAATCGCAAAAATCAAACTTCCCTGGTTCATCCCTGCAATCTGTAGAGTCAAATTATACATAATCTCATTTATTTGCAGTTTGCAATGGATTGGGCAAATTCTGATACCGTTACACTGAATTTGGGCTCACTGATGGACTGATGATTGAAAGTAATCCGATTTCTCTGATGTGAAGCAGATCTATTGGCTCTTCTCTGTGCAGCTGTAAACAAAATGACACACTCCTGTCTATAACCTTCACTGTTGTCATTGTTGGTTACAATTTATGTTATTTGTTTTATCAAGTTGTTTAAAATGTGTCTACATTTATATCTTTGAGGGCTTGCCTGGCATTGGAAGGGAAATTGCGTTGAAATTCATCAGGTCTTTGAATGGAGAGAGTGTGCTACACAGGTAATATGAAATCCTAAGTGTAAACGGCATACTATATCAAAGAGGGCACCTAGTGTACACCTTTACTTTCTATAGCCTTTCCTGTTTAGATCAAAATTAAATAAGTACACTGGGCACAAAGGGTGTGTATGTATACAGTATATTATACTAGGGACAATTTTGACAGGAGCCAATAACCTACCAGCATGTCTTTTGGCATTTGGGAAGAAACCGAAACCCTAGCATACCGAGGAAGAGCATGCAAACTCTATGCAGATAGTATCCTGATTGGGATTAGAACCAAGGACCCCAGTGCTGCAAGGCAGAAGTGCTAGTCACTTAGCCATTGTGCTATTCGTTTTTGGGTTTTTTTGTTTTTTTTTGGGAGGGGGTTTGAATTTGCAGTGTTAACGTGTACAAAACGCAATGACATATGGCACGGGAAAGTAAGCAAGCCACACTGGGCTATGCAGAGCCCATATAACACAGGTACCAATTTTATTGCCTATAAGGCAGAGCTGGGTGGTGCTATCAGGTTCTTACTATGTTCCCAATGGGGAGGTTCACCCTCTTTCTGTTGCAGTGTTCACCAGGATAAAGTATGGGGAAAACTAAAATTTCCCCGTCAATTTTGTCAAGGATAATTAGTAATTTTGGTAGCATTTTAAATATGTTAATGTCTTTTTAAATGCAAGCAGCGTACATACTTAAATTTAACCTGTTACCAGCCTCTTGCAATCCCCTATACAACAAGACTGGAAGAAGGAGAAACCGCACAAGGATTCAGTCAATTCTACTGCAGTGCTCATGTGCTTACACAGAACTAACTGATAGAAGGAGAGAGTAAAGTGACAGAGAGATGAGCTCACGAGCCTGCTGTTTTTTCTCTTTTTTTAATGTCCATTCACAGGCTGGGTGATGGCCAAGACCTGCAAGTGCTACTTAACTTAAAGTGGAACTATACTGACCTTTTCTCCAGTACTGTGATCCCACGGAGCGTCCCGCTGGTTGCTGACATCTTCAGCTCTGCGGCTTCTGGGTATCGATCCACAGACGTTTTAGTTGGCTGGCCCAAGGTGATGTCACTCCCGTGCAGGAGTTCAATCATCTCTGCATTGCCAAAATTCTACACTGAGCTGCAGTTCAGGGGACAGGCAGCTAAGGGAACTTTTAATGCAGAAGAGAACATGGTATGTCTGTTCTACATTAAAAATTCTGTCTGTCCACATTTATTTTTGTTTTATTTATTTATTTTTTTAAAGTTCCACTTTAAAGTAAAACTATAGGCAAAATAAAGACATACAGTATGTATGATGCAAACTGTCATTAGCATAAACATAGCAGTGTTTTTCTGAGTCCCCCTTTAACCTAGTTTTAGTACTTGTTGATCCTGCCAGTAGATCAGCCATCTTACAATAATTCTAATAGGTCAATATTGGATAAAAGCAAGCAGAGACCATCACCCTGTTGAATTTGGAGCTGGTAGTCACTCTAAAAGATCTTGGAATGGGAGAGCAGAAATGGTCAGGATCAACAGGTATTTATGAAACATTTAGGGCTCATGTACACTGGCTGAAAAAACGCTGCTTTTAAAATGTTTTGGCGTGATTTTTTTTTTTTTTTTAGCCTATGTGTCCATGCAAACATATGCATATACAGGCGTATTACAGGAGGAGTGGTTTACAAGCTGAAATATATACTAGTAGTGGCAGCGATTAGTTACCTATAGTGGGACTGCAATATTTTACCAGGACATTTTTACACTAACTGACACTTTATGGGAACCATTGCCACTAATACAGTGATCAGTGCTAAAAATATACACTGATCACTGTACTAATGACACTGGTTGGGGGAAGGGGTTAACATCTAGGGTTATCAAAGGGTTAACTGTGTACCTAGCTATGTGCTTGATGTGCACTAGATGGTGCTGGTACAAGAAGAGGTGATTGATCCTGTTCCCAGCTCTGCAGGGAGACACAATCAATCACTTTCTCCTGTCACAAGTCGCCTGGACTCGCAGATCGGCTTCTGCTGTGACAGTTCACAGCAGAAGCTATTCGCCGGGGGTGAGGCAGAAGCACAAAATCCCCTATATATACACACGTGATTTTGTACAGGAAAGCAACCCTGTAGCAGTAAAACTGCTATAGGGCGGACAGTAAGTAGTTGATATCCATTAACACTCAAATGCTTAACGTGCCTAAGCGCGTGTGCAATATGTGCCTTGTACTGCGCTTTTTAAGCGTTTTTCTCGTGTCAGAAGAAAAGGTGTTCAGAGGGCTATACGTAACAATTCTTTATGTTAAAAATCATGAAACAAGAAAGTTACTCCCATGGGACAAAAGCACGAATATTGTCCCATGGGAGTAACCACCTTGCTTTCATGACTTTTATCATGAAGAATTGTATGTATAGTTCAGTTATAGGTTACAGGACAATCCAGTATTGGTGAATTGGCAAACTTTTATTCATATTCATTTAATACCTACTGTTCTTGTAAGGTTTGGTTCAGAAGGGCTAAACAGAAACCCTGTGTGCATGAGGCCTTACTCCAATAGGAAAAAACTTGTACAACTAAATTTACAAAGCAAAAAAGAACTATTTATACAGCTTTAGTATTTAAAGTTTATGGAAACCCTGGGAAAAATCCCTTCCAGACAGAGCTTTACTTGTGGTGAGCTGTGAAAATATCAAGACTAAATGGGCAAAATTACAAATACCTTTTGGAAGGTAAAACCATTCCCATACATGTATTTCATCTGTGTAATCATTTGCCTGAGTTTAGCTTTACAATTTTGATTTCTCACCTGGAATAAGTATGCAGAACAGAAAAGCCTGATCTGTGTATTTTCTAGTCTGTGTTAACCCAACTGCCTGTGTCTGCCTTCAGCAACATCTGAATCACTGACCCAGAACCATCATTCAGCATGAGAAGTGTGTGAACCTGTTGTAGGTCAGCACAATAGCCAAGCAACTCTTGTTTAGAAATTAAAGGTCCACAATGGCAACCTTCATATTTGGTCATACAGGTTTCCTTTAAGTCATGAAATGGTGGATAACGCTGGAGCTTTAGGAATGATTGATTACAGTGGTTGCTTTGCGCTCACCCATAGGCATGACAATATTCTTCTTCACAGGTTTTACCAGTGGAGGAAGCAGTTTGATGATCCCACAGTTCCCCCTAAATCTGCCAAGAAGACTGCTCACTGTTCTGTATGCTGTCATCCAGGTATATAGCCGCATCCTCTGCTCTGTCATGTTTTATGGACTGGAAATGAGTTGTTTACGTTCTGTTGTGGGGCTTCTGGATAATAGATTGTGCTTGTCACATCTTCATAGATTCCTAATGGAGCAAGAGTTTGCTAATTCCCCAGTGATCTGCATAGTGAGTGCAGAGATAAAAACCGTTCCATGATTCATCACATAGGCTGCCTGATCACTGTCTGAGAGCTTGATTTTACAAAACATTGTATGCGGGATCACTAAAGTACATCTAGAACCAAAACTTTTTTTCTGGATTTAAAGTCCGGAAATATTAAATTTTCTGTTTTCTATTTTTTTCCATCTGAGTTCTATTAAGGTTTTCCTTCACTTCATGGTTCAGAGGCCTGACAGGAAGTAAGAGGAAATTTTCCCTCCCTTGGACAGTTGTCACTGGAGGAAGTGTCCCCATTGAAAAGCATAGTGCTTTCAATGGGGACAATCTGCATAGTGCTTGATTTTTAATTTTTTTGAAAATATGGCCAGCTTTAGCCTGTAACATCAGTAATATCCATCTGTTGCCCATGGGGTACAGTGTTTTCTCAGGACTGTTGAAACAAACAAAAAAAAAAAGACAGAGATAAGACGTTTGGGGAGGGGGGCAGTAGAATGTGAAGGCACAATCCAACTGCTGAGAGGTGCATCTGTTAGCTACATGCCATATAAACACTTGCAACTGGCTTGACTGAGAATACATCATATGTAAATGGAGGGAGAATAATTAAGTGTAGGCAATCACGTTCAGGGGCAGGGAAGGAGTAGGAGCAGAAAACTCATGAGTGTCCAACTGGTGGTTTTCTACTGGTATAGAAATGGGATTGTCATCCTATCAGTCCAATTTCAGCTGGATTGTGTGTGACAATTATGTCATGTCTATGGCTGAAAGTATGAGTCTACCCAACAAATTGTTAGAGACTGTGTCACCAGCTTAATTTGCACATAAACCAAGAGAGATGTGACCACATGCTTGGGATTTGTTCCCCCTTGTGATTTTTATTTTTTATATGTTTTAATCACATAAAACTGGATGTAGATTTTATATATTGTCCTCTCTGGTACCAGTAAAGTCTGGTTCTCTCCCCCCCCCCTTTTTTTTTCGTTTTTTGATATGTATTATTAGGATATGGTACTTTAATATGGTAGGCAATTTTGAAATATTCCATATTTTCTGTCGTTGTAGAACCTAAATTTCTCCTTTTTTAAAAGGGCAGCCACCTTAGTTTCATTAAAGTAACCCTGTTGCCAAACCATTTATCTCAGCAAAAAGCTTCCTATACAATTAATATGTGTATTTTAGTCATGTTCTGTTCCTGTAAAACTTCCCTTATGTAAGATTGCTGGGCACCAACATGTTTGATGTGATGTCAGCAACTCCAAAACACTCGGAGCTGTCACTCAAGTGTATAGTATTCCTCTCCACTTCTGTGGAGCTAGGCCAGCACAGACAGTAGTGAAAACCTGCAAAAAATGTGTATGGTCCTGGTAGCTTTACTGAGTAGGGCAAACTAGTGGTGTTTCCAAATAATTAGCACGTAGGTGTCACCAAACCATTTGCACATCAAAAAAAAAGAAAGGAAAGAAAAAGGATTATAAACACTCAGACAGCTACCTCTAAATATATATTTATTGAATCAAAAATACAAAATAACAGTAAGGATTGCAGTTCCCGCACTTCCCCTCTGCCAAAATACCCCCCCCCCCCCCAAAAAAAACAACCCCCCCCACCCAACAAAAGTGAAACACTCCCAGAAAAGGAGAGGACTATTTTGTGCAAGAAGGGAGTGGGCAATGCTAGGAGAAATGCTGTCCTGAAGTAGTTAGATGTTCTAGAAAGTTAAAAGGCACATTGCAAGTGAATAAGAAAATAATTTCTGTGCTTTTTACTGCAGTTGTTTTCATTTGTGACAGGGCCTCTTTGAATCTATCACACAAATTGAATTTGTTTTTATCTTTTAATACCATTAACAAAGAATTTGAGTTAAAAGAACATATGCTTTTGTCCTTTAAGGTTCAGCTAAAGAACACCAGCGAAAAGGATGCAGTTTGTGTGCCAGCGATCGATACTGTGAACCACATGATTATGATTACTGTTGTCCATGTGAGTGGCATAAGGCCGAGCAAGATAAAAAGAACAACCCCTTGGAATATAGCCTTCAGACGTACGTATTTGTACTATGAGAGTAGAGCGGGGTTACCACGATCTATTATTCCTTCATGTAAATATGTTTGTTTATAACCTGCAGGAAGGCAAGAAAACGAGAAGGCTTCCCTTATCATGAGGTACAGAAACTGATCTGTCAATACCACAGTTATTAACATGGATGGTACATGGCTTTAAATGTTCTTCCCTAATTATTTTCAGGTTATACAGGAATTCCTTGTAAACAAAGACAAATTATCAAAGGTCATCCGATGGGTTCGGCCCAGTCTACCATGTTTCCAGGTAAATTATTATGTAAATAGAATTCCCAGATGAGATTCATTACTACTGAGCCATAGCTGGTTATGGGCTTTGTAGCAGTTGATGGTAACATTAGCCCTTCACAGGGGATCTAGGTTCAATTCCTAGCAGAAAAATATTTGTTTGGCGGTTGTATGTTCTCCCCCAGTTCTCTGAGTTGTGGGAGGACACTAGGAAACACACAAAGTCAGACTTGTAGGTTAGTCTGCATTGACCAAATTGGCCATTTTGCTAGCTGATTCGTTTAGTCTACTATCTCTTTAAAACAAAACCTCCAGGCAAATGGCTAAATATACAGGTTAAATGCATGTATGTTTATGGTTTAACCTTCTAAAAGATTTGCAATTCTGTCTTGTGGTTTACACACACTCCACAGCCAGGTCAGTGATGCTAGTTTTTTTTTGAGTCCACATGGTGTCTTCCTATTTCACCTGACCACATCCAGCCTGCTCACTGGGCAGTGCATCAGTAGGAACACCCAAAAATTTAAAAAAATGACACGCCCCTAATTTGATATTGAATCCTAAGTATTAAGTGCCAATATACACTCTATATTCTTATATTATTTACCAATTTAAGGTTAATGTGAGTCAGACAATAAAAATATACGTGCCAAAAAAGTTGCAACTGATAATGAATTACTCATAAAAAAATATATCTCTAATAATAAATCAATAGTGACAATTCCCAAATCAACAATATTGTGATCCAAAAGTGATAATTGTGACTTCCTGTAAATAAAAATTCTCTAATGATAAATCAATATTAACAGTCCCCAAATCAGCGATAATGTGATCCAAAAGAGATAATTGTGACTTTCTGTGAATCCTTGATGTGATCAGGTTGTGCGCTCACCTCCTTGTCAGCCTAATATATAGGCATAATCTGCTTTTTGTTCACAAAAAGGAACCTGATGTGAAAAATCTGTTGCACCGTCTAATGGATGGTGGGTATCCCTTTGAGCTTCCCAATGATCCTCTCCTTTTGAGCCTGTATCCCTGGTTGGATCTCTCCCTCCTGCTGCTGCTGCTGTTTTTTCTCCTCCTTCTCCCCAATCCTGTCCTGGGTATTTCCTCCGTATCCAGGATGTATGGAAAAAATACGAATATAGTGCCTTATCCTTTTACCAATTACCTTTATTATGTGCCCATTATTGCACTCACATCACAAAAAAAGTTAAAACACCTTTGTATAATAAAATCTTTAGCTGTCTGTGCCGCACACAGTGAATACTCGCCGGAGTGACATCGTAGCCCCTACCCTACGCATTACGCCACAGGTCACATGGCTTCGAAAGGGGGTTGAGATTGGACGTGCACTTCGCCCTTACCAATTTATATAGTGGATATGCGCCATTTTTTGTAGTTTACATGGTCGCTGCCATCTTTTTGGGGCCAATGTCTATGCATCACAGCTAGCTTAACCGCTCAAGTGTCCATAGGGTGGAGTGCATCTTAATAGATTAAAAGTATCTAAAAATAGAAAGAAATTAATGAAACCACTAACATCAGCAGTTAAGCTAGCTATTATGCATAGACATTGGCCCCAAAAAGATGACCGCGACCATGTAAACTACAAGAAAATGGCGCATATCAACTATATAAATTGGTAAGGGTGAAGTCCATGTCCAATCGGAACCCCCTGATGAAGCCACATAACCTGTGGCGTAACACGTAGGGGAGGGGCTACGACATCACTCTGCAACCTTGGATGGCGAGTATTCACTGTGTGCGGCGCACACAGCTAAAGATTTTATTGTACAAAGGCGTTTTAACTTTTTTTGTGATGTGAGAGTGCAATAATGGGCACATATAATAAAGGTAATTGGTAAAAGGATAAGGCACTATATTCTTATTTTTTCCGTACATCCTGGATACGGAGGAAATACCCAGGACAGGATTGGGGAGAAGGAGGAGAAATAACAGCAGCAGCAGAAGGAAGGAGAGATCCAACCAGAGATACAGGCTCATAAGGAGAGGATCATTGGGAAGCTCATAAGGGATACCCACCATCCATTAGACGGTGCAACAGATTTTTTACATCAGGTTCCTTTTTTGTGAACAAAAAGCAGATTATGCCTATATATTAGGTTGACAAGGAGGTGAGCGCACAACCTTCTCACATCAAGGATTCACAGAAAGTCACAATTATCTCTTTTGGATCACATTATCGCTGATTTGGGGACTGTTAATATTGATTTATCATTAGAGACTTTTTATTTACAGGAAGCCACAATTATCACTTTTGGATCACAATATTGTTGATTTTGGGAATTGTCACTATTGATTTATTATTAGAGATATATTTTATTATGAGTAAAATTCATTATCAGTTGCAAATTAATTGGCACGTATATTTTTTATTGGATGATTCACATTAACCTTACATTGGTAAATATAATTTTTGTATTGTATGTATTCTCATAAACCTTTAAAGAAAATAGAGTGCATATTGGCACTTAATACTTAGGTTTCAATATCAAATTAGGGGCGCTGCATTTTTTTTAAAATTTTTGAGTATTACACACACATATTGGATTAGGATGTGAGTAATGTCAGCGAACCTTTTTATTTATTTATATTTTCACCAAGTGGCTCACAAGTAATAATAGACATATTAGTAGGAACACCAAGCTGAAAGGAGGAATGGGATCTTCCTGACTGTGCAGTGTAGTAGAAAAATGTAAATCACAAGGCTGCTGAAAAGAAAATAACAAATCCCTTAGCAGGTACGACTAGAATCGCATGTATTTCAGCAATGTATGTAACAGTTTATCTGGAGTTCCATTTTAAACTTATTTGGTAATTAAATATGCTCTTTAAACTTGGATTTATAATACATGGGTACCTACTGTAGATACATGTGCTTAAAGTGTTTGAAGGAAATAAGTTGCATTGTCCATAGCAATCAATCATTTGGTCCGGTTTAGCTGCCCTTTGGAAACACGGGTGCATTTTCTCCAAATCCACCTGCAAGACAACCCTTAAGAGATGGATACCTCCTTTAACAGGGACAGCAAATGTATCTTAAAAAACATTTTAAAAGGAAGCTGATCTATCAATTATTGTATTTCCTCCATCAGGAGAAGTACTGCTTGGAACCTGGAGGAAGGAGGTTCATCTTGAGATTTTAATCTGCAGTCTCCACCTTTCCCCTTTGCCTCATATTCCTTGTAAGTGAGGCTCTCAATCCTCCTTGTCCAAGTCCCTTTCTCTTTAAGGCAGGAAGAGGTCTGGGTGAACTCCATTTTCAATGCCTGGGTAGGACCAGTACTGGTAGGTGACCTATGACCTTGGTGGATTAGCGGTTATGGTTTCCTATAGACTGTAAGGGAAAATCCGGGCGACAAGTCCAGGTAGAATAATGTCGTGGCCTGGCCCGCTGCAGCTCCTTTTTCAGGGACTGTGAAAGTATGAGGGGAAAGTGGCCAGGACCTGATGGTGTCTCTTCCAACCAAGCATCCTAGGAAAGGTGGTGTGAATGCTGGAAGACATTTTTGAGAGCTTCCATTTTCTGCACCCCTGACATGATTAACTTTAGGGGCAGACAACATCCCTAGCAGTGATAGGCACCTGTGGTATCATGTGAAACCTGGTTGTTTGCCCTGCTTGTGGCAAGCTAGGGCTCTTCTAAAGCCTAATCACGGTTAGTTCACTTTTTTTATTTTTCATAAAAAAAGGTGAACTTACCCTTTAATTGCCAAACAGGTGTTTGGCTTTCCTTGCTGCCCTGGTTACAACTTCCAGGCTGTTAACTGCAAGTTCTGGGTTCTATTTCATCTCTACTTTGTCTCAGAAACTTCCTATTCCCACTTAATCAGGGCTTGATAAGGCTGAATTTATTTGGTTTCTCAGCCCCCAGTGAGGGTCTTATAAGTTGGAATACTATGACTATCTCTCACTTGGCAGTACATTTCAGTGTAAGGCCATTTATATATACCTATGTGGGACTCCATGCTGAGATCGTTGCTATACACCTGCACTGCAATGGAAATCTGTCTTCTATGGTATGTCTGCAACTTAATACCGGTCTGTGTCCTTTTAGGCCCGAGGCCTCATCTACATCGTGCTGTATGCAAGTGCTGTATGCAGGCAGCCTGTTCATATCTATGAGGATGCATCGGCTGCACGAACACAGCCACTCGTCCTAATGTGACAGATATGCGGGTGAGCTTCCCCTGAACACGGTGTGTTCTCTAGGCTGCTCATCCACATGTCTATACTATCTGGTACCACAGTATAAAACCTTGTACATGACTTCCAATGCAGACAGTGTGATAGTCTTTGTTGCTGTAGAGCAGAGGTCTCTAAACTTTTCAATACAAGGCCCACATTGTATGTTTTACAAGTGTTCGCAGGCAAAAAAACATTTTATTAATGAATGAATCATGGAAATAAAAGAATAAGGTTTGCATGTGGATTTGTTTGTAAGCAGCATAATATGGTTTAGAACTACAAAAAAAAACCCTCAGTAAAAGAAAGCAATTCCAAAAAAAACTTGAGTCCATCACAGCCCCCTCACATCAGTCCCCATCAAATGAATCCTTACATCAGACGACACCCCCCCCCCCCCCACATGAGTCCCCATCGGAGTCCCCACTTATATGAAATCCCCCTTACATCAGGGTCTCCATCTGAGTTCCTCCTTACATCGATGGGCCCAATCAAATTTTGCAGGGGGCCAGGTTTGGAAAACCCTACTATAGAGGTTTAGGGCATTTTTGTAGTATCTTGGTGTTTACAGTACAGCATTAGACAAAAGCATAAAAACCAGGATGTAAACACCTAGCACATTATCTTTGTTCACTTAATAAAGGATGTAAAATACAAATGTTATACTCACAAGCCAAGTGAGCTTAAAAGCATGTAAATGCATAAAGCACACAATAAGGACCGCTGTTCACCTCCAAAAGCTATAGGTGCTGGAATGTTTAACCACTTTCAAAGGGGTCTTGGGATCGCCTAGCATTTCATAAAGTACTG